ACGCTGCACCTCCTTGACATCCTCCAGCAGCAATCGAGGGTGGCCTTATCACACCATCACAGGATGTCGATAGCGGCCTTTCCACTCTCACCCAGAGAAGCTCTTCTCCAGGCATACCAAGGTCGCTCGCTGCACGATGTTCCTGTTCCTGCAGCGGTGATAGACGTGGCCAAGGTAAAGACGAACTGCCGCTCCATGCTGAATGCGATCAAAGAGTTGGAAGTCAGCTTCAGAGCTCACGTCAAGACTCACAAAACAACAGAGATTACGAAACTTCAGGTCGGTGAAGATTGCAAGGACGTGAGGTTGATCGTATCGACCATTATCGAAGCGGAGCAACTGATTCCCCTTCTTCTGGAATATAAAAGTCGGGGCGCAAAGATCAATATCTTGTATGGTGTCCCACTGGGCCCCTCACACGTCGATCGGCTTGCTCGTGTAGGCCGCCAGCTTGGTGAAGGGTCCATTACAGTCATGATCGATCATCCAGAGCAGTTGAAATGCTTGTCGTCCTTCAAGGAAGAGGCTGGATTTCCCGCATTGGTCTTCATTAAAACCGACTCGGGCTATCACAGGGCAGGTTTAAACCCCAACTCGAAGGATATGTTGGACCTTGTGCATGAAGTTAGCACCGGCGAACAGCAAGGTCTGCTTTGGTTGCTTGGATTCTATTCACATAACAGCCTCAGCTATGGTGGTTCGTCGCCCGACGATGCAATGGACATGCTCAAAGTCGAGATTGACATTTGCCGACAAGCCTCTCAACACTTCAAGAGAGACAGCCAGACTCCGCTTCTTGTTTCGGTTGGAGCATCTCCAACTGCTCTTTCTTTACAAAACATTCTGCCTTCGGCTCCAAGTTCTACTTCTTCAGCTAATGCTCTTAAGGGTACGCTCGAGTTGACCAAATCCAATCTCGAGCTTGAAATCCATGCCGGCGTCTACCCGATCTTTGACATCCAGCAGGTGGCTGCCAGCAGCCGCAGCTTTACTTCGGACCCTCATGATACCATTGCAGTATCTGTCCTCGCCGAGGTCTGTTCTTTGTACCCAAATCGGACCAAACAGCCTGAAGGACTGATTTCTGCCGGCGCTCTCGCACTTGCGAGAGAGCCCTGCAAGGACTATCCTGGATGGGGTGTCGTAAGTCCATGGAATATGCCAGAGGATTATCGCACGACAAAAAAAGATCGCATCATTGTCAGCCGCATCAGTCAGGAGCATGGCATCTTGGCTTTTGAAGACAACGACATAGAGAACCGGGAGCTGCCTTTACAATACGGCCAAAAGCTTCGCATTTGGCCTAATCATGCATGCATCACTCTAGCAATGTTCAGCTGGTATTTTATCATTGATACAGACACTGACAGCCCCAACAATATTATTGACGTCTGGGTAAGGTGGCGAGGCTGGTAAACGAAAACAGCGGAAGAACGACCCCATTGAGATCAGCATTGAACCCAAACACTTGATCAACTGTGATCTCCGCCACAACCAAAGCCAGGATCGTGAAGGGTGACATTCCCCAGAGGGGTGATCCTTAGACTGGAATTCGCTTCCGGTAGTTGACTAGTATCCGGCTATACTTATCAAAGCGCAACATATGATAACAAGACCACAAGATTTGAATCAGAACATGGGACTCCTTGTTTTTGGCCTAGTTCTGTCTTTTTGCCCATTCATGTCGAATATGTTCAACCTTCATTCAACTCTGCGCCTTTACAGAAAACCTACCAGCGCAACTTACGTAATCGAACGCAGAGACCTGATGTATGGTTGATCCCGGAGATAACAGCCAGGCTTGTCGGATAATGAAACTCAGATGCTTGCCCGCAAAGGAAGTCGGGTTACCATGTTCAAGACTGGATCGGAGATCAGGGCATATCGTTCCTTAATTGAAGCGTCACGGTGTCCCATCAAGGCGAAGAGTGGATGGTGGAGAATACTGCAGGTTAGAGCGGCCGATGCGAGGTTGACAGACGGACCGCGGATGGTGTGGTGTGCACAATCACGAAAGAGTCTACTGGCTAACTATAACCGGGCATCCATTTGAAGGCCTTACCCTACGTGGCATCAAGCAGAGTACCAGCCAGGGCCATTGACATATTCGTCTGCCTGATCTCGCCTCTTACTGGTCGACTATGCCTTACAAGAATTCAGCCTCGTGGGAACCCAAAGCGACTAGGAGAAAACCCAATCCGGAGAATTTGAGTTATAACTGCCTTCGTGCTTTGGCGCTTTGCGATCAAGGGAGCAGAGGTCCCTGGCTCTCACAGCAACAGCACGAGAGTAAGCCTTGAGGGTGAGTACAGCGGACACAAGTTATCAGAATCGCCTTTTGTTGGTATCTGTTGTTCCAGACAACTACAATCCAAAGAACCTGAGCCGGTTGGCGACGAGAAGGCAGCGAAATTTGGTTCACAGCCTAACACAAGGCTCTATAAACCTCCTCATTTCCTTACTCCTCCTTGCCATCAAACTCCAACTCCGTTGTGTCCACCAAAACCCAATTTCTCTCAAAGCTGCTCGGGCACATTCACTCTCTATCATCACGTTCTTACCTGTTGTGCAAGACGAGCTAAATCACCGGGAACATAGATAACTTCTGCGATATGCAGCAGACCTCGAGTATGAACATTCCCTATTGCTCGAGCTATCGCAGAAATGGCGATTTTGGCAGTGGTTGGCGGAAGAGCTCGGCCTCTCTCAGAGGTATCTCGGCATCGTGGAGAGAAAGATCATCGGCAGTTTTGACTCGTGCCAATGTCGCAGCCCAGGGATGCAGATCAGACTCAACCATCAACTCGACTTCGTCCTTAGATAGCCTAAGATTCGAAACAACAAAGACAAACTTGCTATCCTTGACTCCATGTTCTCAGCCTGATGCGCTCTGGCCAGAAAACTCCTGATTCTGCTGCCTCGCTGTCGTCCTCGCCCTCCTCCTCCAGCGCTTCCCCTCCGAATGCGAATTAGTCTCGCAGAGATTTTCGGACGAGCTCGCGCTTGGGACCATTATTCACGGCCCTCACGTGTCTGAAGCCCTAGAAACTGGTGTCGGCTCCTGGAACCTGCGCATTGCACATCACAGCTTCAAAGTGTACTTTGATGCCAGGAGATCGATAACACAAACATCGGTTTTTCGTCGTAATTGAAATTTACACTTTAGAGCTGTCGGTTCTCAAGACAAAGGAAATGGAACCTGATAGTGTTTTCCTTGGTCCAAAGTTCCCTCGTTAAGTGTGTATAGTTCCTACAACACTCTGGGCTATGAACCCTGTTGAGATTGTTTGCCAACTGACGAGTCGCAGGATTGCTTTGCTCTTACAACACTTTCACCGAGAAGGTGGGCATGTGCTCGAAGAATCCTCACCAGACGTGATTCGGAAAATGGATCAGAAAGCAGAAATTGCGAAAGCTAGGCAGCAAGACTTCAAATTCGCTTCACAAAAACAATCCAAACATGGCCTGCAAAGCGAATTCTGACACCGTCGACGCACACCATCTTCACCTCTTGGATCTAGGGCTCAAATCGGAAGACCTGGCCATAAAAGTTCCCCAAACAGGCCGGTTGATGTCCCCGTTTGAATTCCCCGTCGTGCTAGTCCACCGAATAAGCCGGCTTCAGCTCGACCAAGTTTTCGTCCAATCCATTCGATATACTGCGAATTGACGAGGAAGATGAGGTGAGTGACACACCGATGGCGAGACCGAGAATTAATGCAAAGTCTGAGAAGGAGCTGTTGATATATGAATGCATCAATGCTTTCTTTGAAACTCCTCGAAACAAAAGAGAACCCATGCGGCTTTTTCCACCATGCAAAAGGCTTCTGCAGCACCACAGGACCTAGAACTTGTCCATTTTAAGCTGTCCAATCCTGGCTAAATCACTCTGGCAGATAGCTAGTGCGTTATCCCGTATATTGGCGTCGTGCGAGATAGCATTCTGCATCGAGCATGAAGAGCTTCCCCAGCAACCAAGATGGAAGTCACCGAGGTGGGATTGATCGAAGGATATGTGACCAGGCACTGGGAACAAGGAGAGGATTCGCCAGAGGGTGGAGCACGAAGGGGATAACTCAGTGCTGAGGGAAAACGCGTCGTATTAGCTGGTTTGGTAGTATTACCCCTAAGTGGTTACGAAGAGAGGAAGCCGCGAGCATCCATGGTGATATCGTACCCCAGCTACCTCTGAGAGCAGCGTGAAAAATCCAATAGGTATGCAAATACGAATCACCCACCCAGATCGATCTCTCATATTTCCACTTGGTAGATGCCAGCCGTGGTATTTTTCCTGCTGGTGTCTTGATCAAACGTGTTGGGCAAGGTAGTTTCTTATGCAAGTGCCCGGAGGCCCCAGGAGCCACCCAACATCACGAGAAGAGATCATTACACATATCTCTTTCCTTCGCTCTCTCCACGGTCTGGTGTCTGTTCGATTGGAATGCTAATCGGTTCGGGCGCATATGACTATGTATATAATTTAGTTGTCACTTGCAGCGGATGAGTATCCGGCCATGCCTAACCCACAGGAAGGAGATGCGCGTCGAATCCGTCCCTGATCAGGTTAAGCCGAAATGCTCAAGAAAAAGTCTCTCGATACATCCATCTACTTAGTATGGTCTTCATTTCTCCCTATGTATCTTGCTTTTCTGTTTACCTGCCGCCACCGCCAAAAAGCGAGGTCAAGGGGGATGTAGCTACCTAGCTAGGTAAGGTGCGTGAACATTTCGGTTGCGAACACCTTCAAGTCCATTTCCATCCGGGCCAGGCGGGAGAGGCACTTTCCTTGCTTGTTGCTTGCTTCCTGGACGAACGGTGGGCGGGCACGTAGTGTATAATTGTGTGAAAGGATGAATGGTGGATTGAGAGATGAAACACTCAGTCTCATAACTCATACCGACTTCACTCGTCTGGACACGAACACAAACACATACCTACCGTCTTCAGGCGCCTCGGCCCTTTCTCTCCCTTCTCAGCTCAAGCAAATATCTCCTTCACAGTGTCAGCGCTTGGATTTGAACCAGGGTCCCCTCGGAGAATCTGAGTTGCGCCTCTACTACTCTCCCGTCTGTGCCTCACGCCAACCAAAGCGGTGGTAGAGTCTGGAGAAGCAGGCGCCTCCCACAACGAAACGTACTAACCACTGCACTACGGTAGCTTATTCATTCATTTTTAGTTATGAATATCGGAGGTGTCTGGGGGCGAGAGCAGAAGATATACCGTCCTACTTTCCGAGAGTGTTCACTCGCTGGCAGTGAGTGAGTGAGTGAGTGAGTGACTGACTGACTGACCCCGGCTCGTCAAAGTCGGGGGTTGATAGTGTACAGTTGCCCTCCCAAAAGGGAATGGAATTCCACTCAGAGATATCGTCGCCCTTTGCTGATACAAGGGGGATATATGCATCCACCCGCGCTCCCCGGTCCAAGACGTTACAAGATAAGTATCCCGATGTAAGGAGGTACGTCCCTGTCCCAGTCCCTGTCCGTCGTTCCCTTGCAGACGGGAAGGGAGGGAGGGGCGGAGAGCCGCATATCTGCACGCGTCCGAGGACAGCCGAGCCAAAACCGGCCCCGATCGGTCTGGATCCCGACCCGGGAAAGATCAGGAGGGCAGCCGGACGGTGCATTGGTAGGGGTCGATAGGAGAGAGGGATCACAAGGGCCAGGGGAGATTTACCGAAGGGAGAAGGGAAAACGACATGATAATAGCCTTGGAGGGGAGAAGACAAAGCACACCTTGGATACTCTGCGCGCGCCTGTGAGATGGTCTCACTGGGGGACGTGTCGATACCGCCCCAGCCTCGGTCCTCGTTTGATTCTATTCTATCCCGCAAAACAAGGCTATTATTGCTCCAAAGCAGATAGACAAGGCCCCGAGAGAACCGTACAGTACGTGATTGAATCTATTCCATCCATACAGAGTTTCGCGTTGAGGCCCGTGGAACAGTACAACACAGCAAGGCTCATGTACACATGTGCGCCGATCGATCAAACACCACCATCCATGACATCCGAAATGCGCGGGATCTGGGATAGTCAACACAGTATCGGAGCATGCAGGGGGAAAGGAAATGGTATCAGGAAGCCTAGGTGGCCTGAGAGTCTACGAAATCTTGCGTGCGGCGACTGAGCAAAAAAGCGCAAAGAATGAACTTTTTCCCTCCTAGAACCGTCACTCTATGGTCAAGGGTCAGTTAAGGGATGGATGGTCAAGGGATAGATAAAGGTCTATGTCAAATTTCGATACGAGTTCGTTGACGTTGCGCAAAGGGGCGCGAGAGTTGCTTGTCATGTGTGTTATGCAAGGGGGAGCGAATGGTCCCATCCCCGTTTAGCGAGTTGGTTCTAGATGTGTATGAGAAACTTTCCCCATCTCCAGAGACAGACAGCTGGAATGATGCAGAACATTTTGACAGGCCTGTCCTATCCAGTCCATGACTTGGAGGAAATGAGGTTGAAAATGCCATGCCGCGCCAGGCCTTGCCACTCCCTGGCCGAATCCGTCTTGGTCGTGCGGAACTGGAATGGCTCTGTTCCTCTCTCCCTTGTGTCCCGTGACAGTACCCCGTATATCAGATACATGAAAGAAAATCGCGAACTGACACGTTTTTTTTTTTTTTTAATTTTTATTTTTTTGGTCCTGAAATCGACAAAAGCCCACTGGGGGATATGAAGATCAAACTTCGACGCCGTCAACAATCATATGCGCAAGCGTGCGTTGGCATTGTTGACCGATTCTCTCACCGAACGACGGCAAAACTTTGGGCCTCATTCCCGACGGTGTGGTCACATTGTCTGGGTCGGAAAAGAGAACCTAGCGAGCATTAGTGCTGGCTGGGACTAAAGATCGCTCATCTGCAAGCAAAGCGTAAGCGAGGAAGAGCGAAGGGAATGTCAAATGGGCAAAGAAGGGATCCGTGGCCGTGTCATATGTGAGATCAGACTGGGAGATCTGGGGAAGCAAGGACGCGCCTTCCAGCGTCCCCATCAATATCCGCCTATGTGTATGGATCCGCTGACCCAGAAATACGTGGGCCAGGTGTAATGAAAGAAAAGTTCTCCTCGCGACCTTGCCAGTGCTGCAGGAGTGAATGTAGTCACAGAGCAAAATAAGGGGGAGGATCATCGCTGATGACAGCAGAGAAGGCCTTTGGACTGTCGCCGAGAACTCGACCCAACCTTGGGCAACTGGACGCATTTCCGGATGTCAGGTCGCGATTGAAACTTCGGATGAAGCATTTGGCGAAGAAGCTTCGGCGGAAGGTGGTGAGGTAGTTCGGATTAGTCACGGTTATGGGTATCTGGCGCGAAAGAGCAAGGCAGGCCTGAGACACTGAGATTGGAAAGCGAGAAGCATTCGCTCAGACCATGACACAAGGTCGCGCACGGGCTATGCAAAGGGGGTTGCATGGGGTAACTTAGAGCATTGTAAAGGAGGGATGGAAGTTGAGTTCCAAGAGACACCGTAAAACGCCACCTCCAGGGAGGGTTATGGCCCAAAAGGAACAATGTGCAAGTTGGCAGTGACGACTGTGCTCTCGCGATACGAGGGTGTTGCACGAATGGCAAGGCTGCGAGAAGCGAGTAGCCTACCAGATCGTCAGTGACCTCCCCGAGATGCCGCTCATGACGAGTTTTGGGCTGGGGGGACGCGAGTGGGCTGCCCGCATGTGGGACACTATGACAACTTCCGTCAAATGGCCCCCTGCTTCTGCAAGGAATTGAGAGCCCGGGTTCCACGCCATGTCCGGCATATGCAAAGACTTGTTCCGCCGGGGCGAGTGGACTTAGCAGCTGGCAGCTGCATCGACCGCGTCGAGCACCAGCACAAATACTCGTAATAAGCAGTCATGGGGAAGGACTCAGGAAGAGAACTTTAATCAACCAGGAGTTGGTGGATTTGAGCCATCAGAAGCGAGAAGTCCCACCTCATTCGCTGGTCGGTGCCAGTTCCGGGACAACGGTCTGCGGTTGTGCGGTTCCGACTGTCCCACATATTATTGACCCGGGTGAAAGCCGGTGTCGGGGGAGCTCCAGCAATGGGATAGTGTGTGAAAGCTGCAGGAGGGTTTGTTCTGTGTCAGGATTTGCTGAATCGACAAGTTGCTCTTCCCTTTCGAGATGGAGCTTTGTCTTGAGAGGCCGATCACTGGCTAAATCGTGTTCGGCCTTGTTGGTGGTGGTAGCGTGACCATTTTCGACCGGAACGACCCTGAGATGTGATAGTAGGTATGTAGTTGCGAGGGGATTGTGCACAAAGGACGGCGAAATGTTTTGCGCAGCGAGCAGCAAAGGAAAAATGAGCCAGCCAATGGAGAGGAAGTTCGTTCCATTAACCACGACGGCAGCGAAAACCCGAGGGGAGAGAGGGCCGCGGATGTCATTGAATGGACGCCTCTAAGCCACAAACGCATGGGAGGCAGGGCCCTAACCGAATGCCGAGACGTGAAACTCGAGTCTGATGGGATACATTTACAGTGTGGCTGCTCCAAGGCTGCTCTCTAAACTTGCTGGGCGCAAAAGGGGAGGGCTGCTGATTTGAATACCTTCGACCGCATGCAGCATGCATAGCAAAAAAATATGGAGTAATGTAGATCAATTATCTGGACCCAGAAGGTAGAATGGCATGCTGCACAGAAAGACGTTCGTGCCATCCGATCAGGGCGTGGAAATTGGTCGATAGTTGCCCGGTGAGGACATGGCTGCTTCCGGAGGGTTGATCGGTGCCAGAGCGTCGGAACGACCAAGATTCCACATTTTTCCAGGTTAAGAAAAACCCTTTTTCTCTCACGCTTTGTCTTGGTGGGCACAGACCACACACCCAGCAAGCCATCCAACTCGGAAGCGACTTGGACTGTAGCATCGGCATGTTTTTGAACAACGACAACAATAAACAAGAAGGGTGTGAGGTAAGTCGGATACGTAAGGAAATGGATTTTCTCTGCGTAACTAGGGCACATGTCAAAGCAAGATTTGAGGGCTGGCGGGCAGCAGACCAGGTTCAGGTCCCAGTTCCACGTGCAGGTCGGAAAAGATCCCTCTTCTGTTTGATGTCCAGCTGACTCGTCTCCGCACCACTTTCCGTCTTTGTTTTTCCTTTTTTGCCCTGTTGATGGACATTTTCTTGCAACGCGCTTACGGAGAAGCTCTTGCCCCAGGTAGCGTCAACGGGGAAGCGGAAACCCGCTATGGAAGGGTGACATGCTTACTCGACCTGCTCCGTACTCGGTAGGTACTTCTCCTTACTGTTGGTGTGTCGGTGTAATATCCTTGTACTTGTAGTGGCTGGGAGAGATTACCTTTTTGGTGGGATTCAGCCTTCACCTCGTTCTCCGCCAATCGCCGCAGTATGAGGATCGAATGATTTCCATTCGCTCGAGTCGAGTCAGCTGGCTTGACGAGTTTTGGGATCTTCCTATAATCGTACGAGGAGAGCATGGTTGAGCCTTGAGACTTTGTGGTAGTAGGTTGATTATGTTGGTCAGTCACATTGACACCCTTAGCGCAAGTATAGAACCTGGTACAAATCAAATCTTCAAGGTTACGACTCTGCCAGTCGCTAACTGTGCCCTGGAAGTGCGTATCGACGTTGCACTCGAATCTCGTAGGGTAGGGAGAGGCGGTGGTACGGGAAGTACATGGGTAGAGAGGGCTGGACGTGTGGCTGAGGCAAAAACAAACCCCATTGCAGCAAGGCAAATATTTATTATTGGCATGTGACCAGCCTTGGAAACCACGGGAAGGGCTTCGAGACCTCACAACAGGGCCCACGAATACATTTATCCATTTGTCTCACATGTCACTCATTAGGTAGTTGATGAGTGGTCGGGTACGACAGTTTGTATCTCCGCCTATTTTTTCGACAAGAGAATAACAAAGATTCCTGATGGTCGAGTCGATACTCCGTCTTTGATGCCTGGCCAAAACAGCTGTGATGCCTAGCTTGGCTGTCTATCGGGCGGTTTAGGTGATCGGACTCCCCAAGACAGATGCAAGATGGGCTGTGTGGGTGGTGCCCTGGTGGCACCCAAGAGGTGGTGACGGATCCCCCCAATCCCAGGCCCGCGTCACCCATTTCCCCCCCCCAAAGGAGCCGTCAATCAGCTCCGAGCACTCCCCGAGCGATTGTCGGTCTCCTGGCTCCTTGACTTCGGGGGGG